CCCCAAAACCCCAAAACCCCAAAACCCCAAAACCCCTTATAATTTTAATGCATTGAGATAAATAATAGGGCTCAAATCTTTCTGGTTAAAAATAGGCTTATCCGAGTGCTAGCTTTCTGAACCCTGATTCTATCTCATCGCATAGGTTGTCAAAGTATTTATTAAGTTCCTCCTCTGGTGTCTCTGGGTCCTTAAACTTCATTTGTGAGAGTTCATAGAATTGATCCTCTAGTTGATTCGAGATCACTGCCCATGACACTTTATTGTCAGTCATCTGAGATTCATTAATAGTTCTCTTTGCATTATCGTAGAAGCAACAGATACACTTCATCATTCCCAAGGATTTGTTCAATGGGCACTTATAATCGTATTTGGAGAAGGCATTCTGTTGCAAGAAGTCTTCAATGATAACCTTTGAAACTTCAAGGACTGTCTTCTGGATTTCAGAGAGAGATTCTTTACCAACCAATTGCACAATTTCAGACAAATCTTCATCTTCCTGCAAGAGTTGCTTGATAGTTGCCTTGAATTTCATGAAGTCTGGATCGTAGGACTGGTAGAACTTTTCTAATGCTCTGTCATAACTAGAGAAACTGATACTCCAGTTTACTGATGGGAAGTGCTTTCTCTGGGCTAACTTTTTGTCCAAACCCCAAAAGACCTGTACGATCGACAAAGTGGATGCTGTGACTGGATCTGAGAAATCACCACCTGGTGGAGATACAGCACCAACAATAGAGACTGACCCTTCTCTGTCTGGGCTTCCTAAGCAAGTTACTCTTCCAGCTCTCTCGTAGAATTGAGCTAGCTTTGAACCCAAGTTAGCAGGGAAACCTTGATCTGCAGGCATTTCAGCAAGACGTCCAGAAATTTCTCTCAAAGCCTCAGCCCATCTTGAGGTAGAATCAGCCATCAAAGAGACATTGTATCCCATATCTCTGAAATATTCAGCCAAGGTGATACCAGTGTAAATAGAGGCTTCTCTGGCTGCGACTGGCATGTTTGATGTATTGGCAACGAGGCAGGTTCTCTGCATAATATCATATTCTTCTCCATCAATAATTGTGGTTAACTTTGGGAAATCATCCAATACTTCAGCCATTTCATTTCCTCTTTCTCCTCATCCGACATAAATAATACATTCTGAATTAGAATATTTGGACAAAGCTTGTGAAATACATGTCTTCCCGCATCCAAAGGCTCCTGGGATAGCTCAGGTTCCGCCCAGCACTGATGGGAACAACACATCAAGCACACGTTGACCAGTCAGGAGTGGTTCCTTTCCTGGGAGCTTTTCAGCAACTGGCCTGGCTTGCCTGACCGGCCAGAAGTGGGACATAGAGAACTCTACTTCCTTATCCTCGTACTCAACGACTACAACTGGGTCTCTGACAGTGTAGTTACCAATTGGCATTACTTCCTTAATCCTTCCTCTACCCTTTGGTGGGACCATGATTTTATGCTGAGAGAACAAGGCATTCTCGTATCAGTGGCCAAGAATATCTCCTCCACTTACGATATCATCGACACTCAAGTCTGCTGGATTCCATTCCCAAGTTTTATCTTGATCCAAAGATGGAACATCAACACCTTTTGGCACGTACACACTCTTTGTAAGATGAGCAATAGTTTCGAGAGGTCTTTGGATACCATCGTAGATTGTTTGGAGAATACCTGGTCCTAGTTCGACAGACAAAGGACTGTTTGTCCTCATAACTGGATCTCCGACAGTCAATCCGGATGTATCTTCGTAACATTGGATAGATGCAGTGTCTCCTTCAAGTTTAATAATCTCTCCGACAAGTTTGTCCCATCCAACTTTGACGAGCTCATACATTTTTGATCCTGACATCTTCTCTGCAACGACCAGGGGTCCTGCAACTTTGTAAATTTTACCGAACTTGCTTTCCTTGTAATCCTCTGCGTCCATAATTAATAAGTATGCAATTCTATTAAATATCAAGTTAAAGGGGTTTTGGGGTTTTGGGGTTTTGGGGTTTTGGGG